AATGAAAGGTCTTGCCACAAAAAATACATATGTGAAATATGAAAGTCCTAGTATTAACTGTTCAAAAGTTGTGGCCAAGGTAAACGTTTTGAAAAGTTGGCGACACTCAAAGGTCAAGGTCCAAGGGGCAAAGTTCTTGGTATTCAATGAAAGGTTTTCTCAGAAGAATTATAAATAGGAAGTATGAAAGCCCTAAGCCTTACCATTCAAAAGTTATGGTCAAAGTTAAAGTTTTTTCATAAGTACGTAAATATCCAAGGTCAAGGTCAAAAGGTCAAAGTTGTTGGTATTCATTGAAAGGTGTTGTCACAAAGAATGAATATGTGAACTATGAAAGTCCTAGTACCTACCATTCAAAAGTTATGGCCAAAGTAAAAGATTGGAATTTTTGTGTAAAAGTGGGTCAAACTCCAAGGTCAAGGTCAAAAGGTCAAATTTGGTGGTACCCAAAGAAAGGTCTTGTCACAAGGAATACACATATGAAATATGGAAGTCATGGCTCCACTAAATCAAAAGTTATGGGCAAGGTTAAAGTTTTTGTGACGGACGGACAGACGAATGAGATTTAATGTCCCTCACTTTCGCGAAAGCGGGGGACAATAATTATATGGAGGCAACAAACAGTATTCGAGCTCAAAAGTTCATTTAACATTAGAAAAATACGGGCAGAGCATACATGGACCTCCAAAACATCAAAGGTGGTATCAAGTGCCATGGAGGAATAAGCATTACCTGCTAACCGGTCACACCCGTATGCGCCTTTGCATGTTTGGGGAAAAAACGCGAAAAAATTCGTAGACAACTCAATGTGTAAAAAAAGGCCTAATATCAGCACGTCCACTGCTTGCCGTGGAGACTGGTCGGTGGAATCAGACCGTATAAATTGACTTTGTAAAAAGAGATGGCCCCGTATGGCAACATAGCGAAGGTTAAGTTTTCTCAAATTCAGATCAATATGTTGGTACCTAAAGTAAGGCTTTTTCACAAGAAATACAAATGTAAACAAGATGTGTTTGTGAAACACTGACGCCCCTGTATGGCAACATATCAAAGATTAAACTTTTCTTAAATGCAAATTTAATTAATTGGTACCAAAAGTAGGATATTCTCACTGGAAAACAATTGTGAAATTTGAATCTAAGCCAATGTTGAAGTTTTTCAATAAGTACAAAAATCTCCAAGGTCAAGGTCAAAAGGTCAAGGTAATTTGGTATCAAATGAAAGGTCTTGCCACATAGGATATTTATGTAGAGCATGAAAGCCCTAGCCCTAAAAGTTCAGAAGTTATGGCCAAGGTTCTTTTTTTTTTTTTTAAAGTAGGTCAAACTTCAAGATCAAGGTCAAAGGGTCAAAGTTCTTGTAATGATATGAAAGGTCTAGTCACAAGGATTAAATATGTAAAGTATGAAAGCACTAGCCCTAACCCTTTAAAAGTTGTGGTCGAAGTTTGCTTATTTAAAGCAGGTCAATCTCAAAGGTCAAGGTCAAAGGGTCAATGTTCTTGGCATCGAATGAAGGGGCTTTTCACAAGGTTTACATATATGAAGTATAAAAGCTCTATCCCCTTCCGTTCAAAAGTTATAGCCAAGGTTAAAGTTTTTTAACAAGTACGGAAATCTACGAGGTCAAGGTCAAAGGGTCAAAGTTATTGGTAACCGATGAAAGGTCTTTTAACAAAGATGACATATGTGAAGTATAAATGTCCTGGTATCTACTGTTCTAAAGATATGGCCAAAGTAAAAGTTTAAAATTTTCATGTAAGAGTGGGTCAAACTCCGAGGTCAAGGTCAAAAGGTCAAATCTGGTTTTACCCAAAGGTCTTGTCACAAGGAATTCACATATGAAATATGGAAGTCATGGCTCCACTAAATCAAAAGTTATGGGCAAGGTTAAAGTTTTTGTGACGGACGGACAGACTGACGGACAGACGGACAGACCGACGGACAGACGAATGAGATTTAATGTCCCCTCACTTTCGCGAAAGCGGGGGACAATAATTATATGGAGGCAACAAACAGTATTCGAGCTCAAAAGTTCATTTAACATTAGAAAATACGGGCAGAGCATACATGGACCTCCAAAACATCAAAGGTGGTATCAAGTGCCATGGAGGAATAAGCATTACCTGCTAACCGGTCACACCCGTATGCGCCTTTGCATGTTTGGGGAAAAAACCCGAAAAAATTCGTAGACAACTCAATGTGTAAAAAAAGGCCTAATATCAGCACGTCCACTGCTTGCCGTGGAGACTGGTCGGTGGAATCAGACCGTATAAATTGACGTCCCGTGTCGCAGTAGCTGTTGGCACGAAAAAGACCCTCACTGCTCAATGGTCCCTGAGTGCCGAGCATAGGAATAAAGAGCAAGAGCCATCTTATGCATAAAATGCCCCTGTACTTATATCAATTAATTAACTATCACCCTCTTTCCATTTTCATGTATCAAAAAAAAGTAGACACTTGGTGCTTTCATGTTCTGTTATTAAATTTCGTTTTGAGAATCTAAATATTTGAAAACAGGCTTTGAGAAATTGCAATGTTCTTGAAATTTGCAGAAAATATGCTTATTTGACTACCTTGAGCAAAGAATTAAAATATGAGCACAGCCCACGATCCAAAAAATAAAACATGTTTTTGATCTTCAGAAATAGGCCTTTCATTTTGTATTGGCATATTTTGGATCAGAGGTTGTGCTCTATATGAAATATTGAAAAAATGCTTCAACTTTAGGTCATTTTCAAAGGAATTTACAGGATATGAGGAAAATGACGCATTTTATGACGTCATAATGCATTGACTAGATGTGAAATTACATCACAATTAATAGATACGTGGTCACCAACAGTCCAAGTGATAAATACTGCATTTGCAACCTAAACTGAGCAGTTTTGAATTTTCAGAAATTCTCAGGGCCAAATAAGGCCCAAAGTGGCTCTACCTCTTTGCAGTCCTAAATCGGCAATTGGTGGCGTCTTCATCAAAGTAAAAAAATTCTCGAGAGGGACGTAAAACAACAAACAAACAAAATCTAAGACTTGTAATTCCGGCAAGTTCTAGAGACTGGTGGATAAAAATTGTCCCATTTAGCCTCTGATAATTATTGATAGAATAGACCTAGAAACATTGATGTACTATACAGAAAATGTCTGTCTTAGATAAAGATTGTCTCTGCAACTGTGCCAGGAAATGATGGAGACAAGCTCTCAAAGATCTGACAGAAACTGTAATCTAACTGAGCTTGATGTTTAACATATATGAACTGGAGCACTCTAGCTGATCTTAGTGAATTACAGCCGACATAAGCCAGACCTGATACACACTGAACCAAACTGATCTTGTGAATTACAGCTGACATAAACCAGACCTGATACACACTAAAATAAACTGATCTTGGTGAATTACAGCTGACATAAACCAGACCTAATACACACTTAATCAAACTGATCTTGATGAATTACAGCTGACATAAACCAGACCTGATTATGTCTAAACCTGTCATAAGCGAAATCTGATACAGACTGAAGCAAAGTAATCTTGGTGAATTACAGCTGACATACGCCAGACCTGATACACACTGAACCAAACTGATTTTGGTGAATTACAGCTGACATAAGCCAGACCTGATACACACTGAACCGAACTGTTCTTGGTGAATTACAGCTGAAATAAATCAGACCTGATACACACTGAACCAAACTGATCTTATGAATTACAGCTGATATAAGCCAGACCTGATACACACTGAAATAAACTGATCTTGATGAATTACAGCTGACATAAACCAGACCTGATTATGTCTAAACCTGTCATAAGCGAAATCTGATACAGACTGAAGCAAAGTAATCTTGGTGAATTACAGCTGACATACGCCAGACCTGATACACACTGAACCAAAGTAATCTTGGTGAATTACAGCTGACATACGCCAGACCTGATACACACTGAACCAAAGTAATCTTGGTGAATTACAGCTGACATAAACCAGACCTGATACAGACTTAACTAAACTGATCTTGATGAATTACAGCTGATGTATGCCAGACCTGATACACACTAAAATAAACTGATCTTGGTGAATTACAGCTGACATAAGTCAGACCTGATGCAGACTTAACTAAACTGATCTTGATGAATTACAGCTGACATAAGCCACACCTGATACACACTGAACCAAACTGATCTTGGTGAATTACAGCTGACATAAGTCAAACCTGACACGAAACTCTGCAATTTGAGTTAGACATAATCCTACTGCGTATCGTGGAGACTGGTCTTTTGAATGAGACTATACAGTTACTAGGATAAACCGAGGCTTCATGTAGTAGTAGGTGCAGGCACGGAAAATATTTCTACTTCTTCCGTGGCCTCGAATGCAGAGTATATCTTACCCTATAGCTCTCCACTGGCAGACTCTATAACATTTGGTGTAAAATCATTAAGATGGACGGTGAAAAAACAAACAAGCAAAGAACGCATTATAAAAATAAAATTATTCTTTAAAGAAAACGAACTATACTGATAACTCAAAACGAAGAGTAGCAGAAAGATTTTCATGTCAGAAGAAATGAAGACCCGCAGGCCATGTTTGGTTCAACCCTCATAATAATGGAATTCTCTGTCTACATGGATACTCAATATCTGAGTATCTCTAAACCCTTTTTTCATTTTAAAGTATCGGGCATCGATGTGTATTTTTCGGCAGGTGCCATTAAATAATTTTAATATCTTTATGGATGACGATTTTTATTCATTATGGAATGTCATCGGTTAACACGGTAATGCACCTTCCTGTAAACAACTGTCCGGAAACAAAAAATGCGCAAAACATGCCATTATATATATGTCTCGAACGCTTTTATAACAGTTACTAGTATAATGAAATCAGAGAATATCTTGTGCTCACGATATAGCATTCTGCAAGATTCATTTTATTGTAAAAGGAATTTAAATTTTAAAAATACTGTTTTGTGTATTATTATATTATTATCCGTTTAATTTTTTTTTAGCATTTCACATTTATTAAAAGAACAGCTTTCTTCAATTTATTTTTTTTTTACAAAATATTTTATGGTACCCTATTATTAGACATCTCTCTATGTTTCTAGAAGGTACATTGTTTATTTCTTTGGACAAACAGGGAAGACTCAATATCGTCTTGCAGCAGTAACGACTGTTTCAGAGATTGAGGAAGTTCTTGAGACGCCACAAACTCTTGTATATCATTCCTATGCATTCGTCTGAGGTAATTCCTACACAGCTCACCCAAGTTTCGAGGAGTCTGCATATGATCCAATAGTCGTCTGCGAATGACGTAACTTCGCGTGTATTTGATCATAAATTTAACACTCTCTGGGTCTTCTTCGGCTATACTATTGCCAGCATCCAACAGAAAGAGAGCGATGGTTACGAAATTCCTACAGACGGCGTCACACAGAGAAGAGCGGTGACGCGGCATCAGTTTGGGGTCCACGATCCAATCGGTGTAGTACGTATCTGTTCCCCACAAGACGAGGACTGGACGAACCACCTCCATCTTCACATTCAAACTCAGCAGCATTTTAACTAGATTGAGATTGCCTTTTATAATGGCGATGTGAAGAGGCGTCATATAACCGGGTTCAGCGCTTTGTCGGTTAGGATCTGCGCCACACTGCAGCAAGTGCTTCACCATGGCTTCGTCTTCACGATTTATGGATTCATGCAATGGTGTAAACCCGCCATCATCATTGGCATTGATATCAAGACCTTTAGAAGCAAGCTTAGAGACAAATTCTTTTTTGTTTACTCCTGCTAGAGTTAATATGGTCATATAGGGACTAGCATTATTCTGAAGTTCGGATTTAACGGGAAGACATCTTCTGTGCAATTCATTTTCTAAGATCACACACACCTCCTTTAAATCTAATATTCTAGCTAAATCATAAGAGGTGGTGCCATATATTTTTCTGCTGATGTCTGCTTTATGCGCTAATAGAATGTTAATCATTTCGGGATTATTTTGTAAGGTGGCGTGGAATAATGGATCTTCTTCCACTGGACAGAGATAATCCGGGCGGTGGTTCAGTTGGAAGCCATGTTGTAAAAGCAAGTTCAGAGATGTCGCTTTACCTAAAACGAAATTAAAGATAATTTATGGAGAACATTTTTCAAATTCGTAAGTGTCGCAGTAGAAATTCGGTACAGATTGTGTTTCAAGAGAAGGACAACGGGGAACTATGCCAAAACTAATGAAGAATATTCAAAACAAGGGCATCGCAGAGCGGAGAATTCCCTTGCAAGAGAGAATAATACTAGTAATTATTGTACTTCTGTTAAAATGTTTCCTATATAAAGTTCAGAAGGTAAAATAGCTATCTTTTATAGTTCACGCAAAGCAAAGTGTATATCATAATATGAATCAAGACAGAATTCGACATCGATCTAGATGCAAATTACTTCTCTTCCTTTACACTTGACAAACTAACCCATCCACCTACACATAGATATTATAACTTAGCAGGTTACTTTATCCCTTCCAACTCCGTTGCGAGTTAATAACAAGGCTTTATGCTCCTACCTTTCACAACAGCAGAGTAGATAAGGGTATGCTGCTGCTGTGGAGTATAAAAGTCGGCCTCTCGTGTCTGCAGTATACGCTCTGTGATGTCGTCATCGCCATAAATATCTGCCCGATAAAGAGTACCTGGGGTAGCCATGACACCATTATCAGTCAACAGTTGGACCATTCTCTTATTGTTCATTTCTACCGCACAACACAGAGCTCCTTTCTGGTACGAGTTCACAAAGTTCTTTTGCAGCGATTCCATTTTCAGTAGCATCTGTACTATTTCTTCTGCATTCTCTAGTACAGCTAGCATTAAAGCCGAGTATCTCTCTTCTCCCCTGCAGCAAACGTTTATATTAACTTTCTTCGATGTAAGGAATTTAAACAGTTCGACGTCTTTGTTGTAGATTGCAAAATGTATTGGAGCAAAGAGTGTTGCTCGTGTAGGTTCATTCAAAGTACAATCGTGTTCATGAACTAAAAATTTAATCACTCTTAACTTTCCCAGCGCGCAGGCAGAGAGGAGGAATGTTGTAGATGCGTGCTGTGGGGTGGACTCTGCTGTCTGTTCCACGTGTGGACAGCGCCCCTCCAACACCCATACCGACATCTTCTCCACATGAAACACGTGATTATTATGACGTAATTTCTCAAACATCTGTCCACAGATGCACATCCTGTTACGACTCTCGTAATCTGAAGAGAAGATGGAAGAAATAAATGTATTACAAGAGACAGTCAAACGTTTTAAAATTTGTCAGAAAGACTACAAACGATATCGAAGTTTCATTGAAAATTTACAGGTGCTTAATTAGTAACAAGCATTCGTGCAACTTCCACCGAAAGCGATAATTACCGAATCCAATATTCTGTTTCATGATGTCTTTATTAGCTGACAACTTCCATATGATTTCGTCCTCGTCTTGGGAAACCATGCACTGTAGAATCTCGATCTGGCGTTGTCGAGTAGCAACATCTAGCTCTGCCATAGTGCTGCCCGAATTTTCTCATATCGCAGTTCATGCAACTGCTGTAAATATCCTTCAAGTTTTTTATATGGACAATGTGCAATTTTTTAACATATTGGATACTTTTTAGCATGGATCTCAATTTACTTATTGATTATTCTTGTTTTTAAACGCCGAGTCAAACCTTACAAGATTTTAATTGTGAATGTTTTGCTATTAAATTTTAATCTATAATCCAATCAGCGCTGTAGTAGATTACAGTTATAACTGTACTGGATAATAAAATTAAACCATGCATTCAAAGATTTCGAAAGTTATGATGAAAAAGTTACTTCATAGAACGCCCACACTTACCGTTGTCTTGTAGGTGCTCCGCTTCTTTACAACATTTTAAATGGATACCAGACATGAGAGAATCAATATATCGATCACAGCGTGTGTAATCCAGTAAAGGTTTTATTCAATAAGTAAACAAAGCCAAACTTATACATAAACACTTTAAATGGCTGCATTATTACCTAGGCTGGTTTCGCGCCAAACTCCGCCGCCTTTAAATTCAAGAATAAACGAACAAAACCCAGGTCATTGTCTTGCTAAGGGTACCAATATTAAGATTTCTCTTTTAATGGACCTAATGTTTTTGTTTCACCATTTTTAACATTTCAAACATATTTCTAAACTCATTTAAAAGCAAGAGACTCTAGGAGAATTGCGTACGCTTCTGAAAATTGATATACGCAGTACATATTTTTCATGTACAAAATATTTTTAAAATGCTTCTTATTTATTTGCATGCATGATACAAGCACTGTGAAGTTGCTCTGTTCTTTAAAATTTCTTGAATTTAAATGGTGTCAATTTTGTGTGTGCCTTCAATCGATGTATGTTAAAGAGAGAATCAAGTAAAACATGAGTAAAATGCAGATTAATTAAACAAATAAATTTCAACAAATAATCAACTAATGAATTAACACAATGATTTCAATTTGTTATTTTTACTGATAAGCAGTTACACAAGAAGACAAAAAAATCTGAATGGTTTAAAGTCTCAAGTTTAACATGAAGTAATGTACATTGAATTAAAAGCAATGTATCTTTGAGTTATCATGCACTTATGGAAATTTGAGTGAATAAAATTACACCATTTGAACGAATTCCCTTTTCAATACTTAGAAAAATTTGAGTCTGAACTCAAGATGTACTCATGTCCTATGTTTGAATTTAATTCATACACATAAAATCATTGTCCATGTAATGACTGCATTTCCCTTTAATAGTTAACTACAGATATCTAAATCATGACCTGACCCAGATGACTCCAGGTTACTACAATATCATTCAGACCGTCTCGTCTTCTTTACTTTCTACAGGCCTGAGTGAATTCAATAATAGATCTGACCTGTATGTTCTATAGTGCTCAAAATCATATATGTTCAAACTAAATTCATACATGTCTTAGTTCCAATAATTTCTCATACATTGACATATCAAAACAGTCAACCCTGCACTCAGTGTAACATTTATACGAATAGCGAATAGACCAGGAACCCAGACCGATAGAAATAGCTGAAAATGTATATTTGGCGGTCTTTTCTGCAATTCTCTTAACACGGTTAACAATGGGTTCCTCGAGGATTACTTGAGTGGATTCCGACATAGTCTCCTTATTTTCTGATCCAACCGATTTATCATAGAACGCTGGTTTTGTGTAAACACTGGTATCTGACTGCGATTTCTTTGCGTCTGATTCGCTACTCCGAGAGGACGTCACAAACTCGATGACGTCATCGGAACCAGACACAATCGCCTCATCATCACTCAAGCTTGAATCATCACCTTCCTCCACAAATACCATTTTGTTTTCAATCTCCGGTTTCTCGTAAAATGACAGCTTTTTTAGGCGAGAGAACATTCCACTTCCAGCAGCAGCACGTTCACGGGTCACGTCCCCAAGGTCTTGACCCTTTGCTCTCTTAGTCCTTTTCTGAACAGAAACACCTCTTATTTCTTCATCATTAGACGTAGAAGCTACTCGATTATTTGTTTCATCGCTTGTGCTGCTTTCTTGTTTCTCACGAGGTAATAGTCGTCCTTCAGGCGAAAATTTGACCCCAACATCTCCTATTCTAAGTGATAACTTAGGGCCGCCTATATCTATTTTCTGACCTCCTGCTTTTGGACGACTATGGTATTCATAGGACGGCGAAGTATCACTCTCATAGTCTTTTGTGTCATTGTTCCTCCACCATCTCAATCTTTGTTTTCCCTTTTTAAGACGTGGTGAAATATTTGAGCTAGATTCTGTAACATCTATGTTTTCGGAGTCCAAAACCTTGGTATCAGAAGAAGAAACTTCACTCTCATCTAAATATTTTGTACTTTTTACTTGAGTTCCTTTCTTTATACAGGGAGATAACTTCGGTTCACTAATTTTAGTAGTTTCCCCTGTGTTCTCGGCATCTGTGACAGAATAGGAAACTTCAGCATGGCGTCGAAGTGGTTTGCCTACACGTGGTTTTACAAAAGTCCCCGTATCTTCAGAATCTGATTCTTTGGATGGCTTGATGTCCCGCTGATCTGAATACGATTCAGACTCTGAGGAGGTTTTCGTAGATTGACTGTCGCCGTCTTGATCCACTCTTCGTGTGTATGGCGAACGTCTCTCCTCATTCAACCTAGGTCTACAGGATCTTCTCATGCTTCTCATTAAATGGAGGATTCGTGAATTTCCCGTCGGCACTGGGCTACCACTGTCATCTGAGTCGTTAGAAACACTGTGGACGACGTAACACGTCGAATCCACGTGCAGATTCTCGGAGGAACCATCGGTCGTGTCGGTTGTCCCGTTGTTGATATTCAGATTGGTCATGTCCTTGGCTTTCTGCAGCAGACCCTGGAAGACTTGTCCCCCGATCTGCTTGACGTGCCCTCCTAACTGGTCACCCAGCTCTCCCACTTTCCCCTGTAAGGCTTTGACCACTTGATCTTTGACGTCATCCACTCCCCCGGATGCCCCCTTTTCACCCTTTTCAGACGGTTTTTCCTCCCTTGCTTTCCCTTCGCCAGCATCTTTCTTTGATAATTTTGCATCTTTTGATGTCCCTTCAGCTTGACCAACTTTTTCTTCTCCAGTCTTTTTCTCTCCACTGGGCCCCAGCTTTTCTGACATTCCTGACTTTTCCGTTGCTATAGCCCGACTCTTGTCGGCGTCATCTTTTACTTCCATAGCCACCCTTCTCTCATCTTTTTCGCCTTTAATGGCTCTATGTTTAGAAACTCTTCTTCCACTCCTACAAAACCATGCTGAGTATTAATTACAGGAATCCATTTACATCTCATTTCATACTCTACACGCTTGTACTTTCCATTGTCATGTGAATGTCTTGAATAATTTCGTTTAATATTCAACCTTCAACACTTTTACTAGCTGGATTTAATAATTCATCTAATATTTTCTCTTTTTATAGGAAACAAGATGTGTTCGTGAAACACTGATGTCCCCGTATGGCAGCTTAAAGCGAGGGTTGAAAATTCTCAAATACAACCTAAACTCCAAGGTCAATAGGTCAAAATTATTGGTATCCAGATGAATGTTTTGTCACAAGAAACACACCTGTGAAATATAAAAGCCCTAGTACTAACTGTTCAAAATTTATACAAAGTTAATTCTTTTTTAAAGTGATCAAACTCATAGTTCAAAGTCCAAAATATTTATACCCCTTGGAAGGTCTTGTTACAATGAATACACACTGAAATATACAAGCCAAGGTTAAAGACTGGGAATTTTTGGTAAAAGGGGAGTCAAACTCCAAGGTCAAAGTAAAGAGGTCAGATTTGGTGGTACCTCAAAATTTATGGGCAAAATTTAAATTTTTGCGGACAGACATACAGACAGACAGGGCAAAACTATATTTTCATTTTTGATCAGATTTCCTACGTGTTTATTCTTGATTTTGGATTTTTGATGCTAATATGTGAAATTGAATCAAAGAAATAAAACGGCTTATACCGATAACAGGATTGAAGAGGGGGTAATGTTTCTCTTGAAGACTCAGAAGTTAGAAATTAATCAATTTGTGTCAAAAGACAAGGAGTCAATTGTGACGAAACAAGATGTTCCTGCTTTCTTTTGGGAAAGCATGACCGCACATCAATGTATTAATTTACTTAATTTTGTAGATAACATCCCCAAAATTTACTCTCAGAGCTTTGCATTGCTGAGTTCACAAGAAAAGTAGAATTTCAACAAAGAGAAATTGGATCTTTCTTACCATTATCCCAATAAATTTTCCCTCCTGTTTTACTACATGTATGATGTACCTTTCATGTACATTTTAGATTAAATTTTTATCTTTAGATTTTGTGAACCTTCCTCTCATCTGTCTTTTCCGGACCCGTATTTATAAGGAGGACTCATTCTGAATTCGTATTTTTAAGGAGGACGTACCTGGATAACTCGCCCTCCATGAAAGTGAAGAGGTCTCGGAGGGACTGGGAGATAAGTGTGATGTCCTTAATAAAGATTATCTCCCCCTGGATCAGTCCAATCTGTCGCTCATTTTCCACCAGGATCTGTGTGGCTTTGTGGAGTCGCTTCACTTTAGAGCGGGTCTGAAGAAAAACAATGATGATAAACTCTTATAAATTTGTTTCTAGTGACTCTAGTTTACCTAACATTGAATGACGTGCAAATAACACAACAAATGATGAAACACCAATAAATTATTCATATAACGTACGTTTACAAAAACAGAATACAACACATAGCATAAGATGGGGAGTTGGCATGTTCTACTCCACTTTTTTCTATATATATTTTTAAAAATATTTATTGAAAGGTCGGTCCCCCCTCCCATATAGGTTGGATTTTCGAGTTAGGATAACTTTCCAGTTTTAGGTAAGTTGAATTTTTTCCCCTCCTCCCTTCCCGTATTTCAAAATACAATTCTGCGTACCAGTATTCAGCATTCGTCTGGCATGTCTTAGCGTATACGATCGTTTGTCTGTAAATGAGTCTTCGTAAGAAAGATGAAATGTGCCTGGATATTTTTATCTGAAAACGTATCGACTTAAAAGATGTTATTATAATCATTTTATTGCTGTCTTTTTATAGTGCTCTTTTGAAATGGGGAAAATGCTGCAAGACTGAAAACGAGTAAAACACCATCGCCCTACTATTTATTATTAGCCATAAAGCCTTTACACCTTGATCATGTGCTAAGAGGGATAATTCTATATTATTTAAATACACGATTTCCTTGAAAAGTGTCGTTTTGTCCTTCCGGCCGTTTATGGTTATTTTGATTAAAATATTTCATTTTTAATGCATTATTTTCTGAAAAATTGACACACTTAATCACGAAAAATCCAGTTTAGTGACAAAAGAAAAATATAATATGTCTAAACTTTAGTTCTGCTGCTTGACCCCCCCCCCCCCCCCCCGAAGAAAATAAAATCGACAAATCGATAACTGGTGTAAACTGTCAATAGGCCTGGTATCAATATAAATGTACAATCCAGAAGGAATACAAACCGGACGATTTTCCAGCGATTCTATCAATCCCAGCACGTCCTCTTCACGTTTCTTTTTTCTCGCCATTTTTTCCGAGATTTTCTTTTCCAAAAAATTGTTTGTTAGAATTCCAAGCTGAGACTCTAGTTCTTTGCATCTATTTGTAAAACCTGAAAGAAAGTATAAGCATATATTTATAAACAAACAATTACTCTAAATATGATTAATATATAAACAAACAGTAGGTCTACTTGATTCATGACTTATTTAAGGAATAACTGTCTTATTTTCCGATTTCATGATGTGATCAATCGATTGGCTTGCGTGATAATTTGCATAAACGCCAAAGGCGTAGAAATCATTAGACTCGGCCTACTTATTAGTCTCAAAATTCATCGGATCAACACAGAGTAAGTGCGCGTGAAAAGGCGATTGTGACGTCACAAACGGCACCTCAAATAATAAAACGTTGAAAACTTTTCATGAGTCTGTCAATATGATCAATAGAAAACATTGGAGGAAGGAATACATGGAAGTTGTGATTATAAAGTTGACATTAAAAACTATGAAGATCTTATCGTTATGCAGGCATCAATATCTATACTGCATATTAATTAATGATACAACGACTTTCTCAATCAGACAATAACTAATATTAGTATATTTCGAAATTAACCAGAAAAGATTAAATTCACATCGTTAATTTGACAGAAAATTTCCGTTTGCTTATAAAACTTAATTAAAACAAACCTTTCCAAATATCCGCGTCATTCAGGTCAAAGACAAGTGAGCCTGACATGGTAAAGAGAATGATGTCAATAATAGAATGGAGCAGTCCAATGATAGTCTTGACGTGCAGTAGCTGATGGGACTCGGTGACCGTGTGGCTCACCTCCAGGCTCGGCTTGGCCTGATCCCTAACATCCCTAACACCACTTTCATCTCCCCTTCTCCTCGAGTATCCTCTCCGTGCTTTTCTTGTGAATCCCTTATCCTTAAATCTCTCACTTTCTGACGACTTCTGTTCCTCTGAGTGGTCCTCTTCTGTAAACTTCCCCTTCTGGATCGGTTCTGTTCGTTTAATCTGCGTTGTTTTTGTTGGTGTGAATGTTATTTCCTCATGTAATTTAGAATCTTTCAATATGCAGTCAAATTGTAAGGCCCTCTCAATTTGTTTCAATATTAAGTCGTTTATAGCCTGAATTCCCCGATAAAGAACGCTAAATTCGACGTTTTCATGGTGTACTTCATTTTTCGTCAACTTAATCCACCGAGAATTTAGTTGATTAAAACATTTTTCGTCGCACTGGTTTTCGAACTTCCTTTTCAAATTTTCAGGAAGTTTGTGATACTGATGACAAAATTTGCACGGCTGCTGGGAAAAATTTTCTGGCGAAGGAGAAAAATTGAGCGAAATATCCTTGTCCAGTTGATTATTCTCTCTGTCTGACATCCAGATTGGCTGAATCACCAGATGTAGCCTGCAAAATTTTCTGTCCTTCTTGTATCTTATAATGAAGATAAACTCATTTCTTCGTCAGGGGCGAATGTCTTGACAACTGGGTAAACGAACATAAAATTTAGCGTCAAATCACGGAAGTTTATGACGTCACAATGAATTCAAAGGCTTTCACTTTGTTCGTGCGTTCAACAGCGTAGCTGCTACGTAGCCGCTATGCAAAGCTACGCTCTTGAACAGAGAGCTAACCTAGCCACTACGTAGGTATATTTAATGCTAAGTCCCAAATCCAAGATGGCCTCCTTAGTTACAAGTTCGCAGTACATAAGGATTGAACAAAAAGGACGGTTATTTTCTACATCTTAGTGAATTAAATGTTTACATATATATTTGCGCTTGAAATAAACTTTTTATTGTCCCCAAAATAAGTTTTTATTGATATATTTTTATACAAACTTCAACACTTAGCGGCTAGGTCCTGCCCTTTCATTAGATATCTAACACCTAGCTGCTGGGTTAGCCGCTACGACTTGAAGTGAAGCTTGCGTCCTACGCTGTATAGTTTTCAAATTAATTCAATAATTCGAGAGAGAAAGTGGGAGGGATCTGGGGAATTAAAATATGAGTTATAATCTTGTCGATTGAAATTTGTGTGCACCACAAAATATCGATGGTGTGTGATGCATGATATCTGAAAACCGAAAATACATTGTTAAGACTCTAAACATTTTATCCTCATAGCATTTCATAGAATTCTGACACAGGCACCTGACGTTACTTATTTTTCTTTTAATAAAAAAAAATTATACACATACCTAATAATTATTAGGTATGTGTATATTTTTTTTATTAAAAGAAAAATAAGCAACGTCAGGTACCTGTGAATTCTGACAAAGGAAAAAATCATCTAGGTATTCTATTTTCTTACAAATGGCTTAGAGAATACACGCGTAAATATTCCATCGGTCTATTAAAAAATTCTCAAAGTGATGTGCTTTTACCCACAATAATTCTTCAAAATTCATCTTTAAGGTATGTCGCTCGTGAAATTTTTTATATCAAGGATTTTTTGAGAAGTATATTTTTGATAAGTACCCTTGTAGTATGACTCAAAATCGCAGAAAAAAAGAGGGTCAGTGTGCATCTTACGGAGCTACGGTACAATTAAGTTGACATTTCTGCACTTCAATTTTAAGTTTTTGGTTCCTTTAATCTTTATAATATTTTATCAGATGTAGCCATGGCAATAAATATAATTTTTTTTACGTACGTTTGAATAATATTTAAGGAATGACTCTAATCCTTGGCCAAATTATTCGATTATAACCTGGTTTGGGTCAGTTTACGCTTTATAATCCGCGAAGCTACTATTTGAAGTTAAAGGTACATTTATTAAATCTGGAATTTTCCATGAATCCCAAGGACTGAAAATGAGGGGATTGCATGGATACAGATGATTCAGCTGGTTGTCAAGGGGGTGTGTCTCCATACCAAACCAGGTTATTGAGAAATAATTTGCGTTCCTTTTTGGAAATCAACCAATGAGAGACTAGAATACAAACAAAATTAAATTATTTATCATTGAACAAATCTTGTAAATAATGCGTGTATATCATTGTGTGACCTTTTTGCACTAAATAAGTAACATATGTGGGTATTGGAAATCTAAATAGGCAATAAAATATTTTCTTGTATCAAACTTTTTACGACTTAGGAGCTGATATGCAGCAACTAATATACCTTCATCACCTGCATACGGAGTTTATATATCTCAGTCGATTCAATAAGCAAGAGCATTTTCTACTTATGAACAATTTCTAAAACGAGGAAAAGTATTAAAAAACAAGTTGATGAAACAAGAATAAGACATTTCGTAAGTTCTATGGTCGATACAATGACCTTGTCAGAAAATACAATTTATCATTGAGCCAAATGCTGACTGACGTTATTCATATTTATTGTTATATTCCATTATTAATTTTATGCACTGAATTGACGACGGATTTTTCCGTTTTTTCCCTATCATAACAAAGAGCACACTGCGGGGATGCTCATTCCTCCATGGCACCTGATCCCACCTTTGATGTTTTGGAGGTCCTTATTCGCTCTGCTCCTACAATTGTATCTTGTATTGTTCTATGGACCTCTGATCTGGAATACTATTCGTTATCTCCATATGTTTCATTCTAATCATTACAAAACACCATAAATCACTTCTAGTTTCATATGTTAATAAACATTGCTACATCAGTATTATTTACTACTTTCATTATTTTTACATGAAATTTTGCATTACTTATTGAACGACCCTCGTATTGTTGTATTTGGTATGAATTTGAATTAATAACAGTTTTTGCAAGAAACCTAGAGCATCATAGGAGGATGGAAATACCTTAATCCAATGTTTAATTTAAATTAGAAGGTTATAAGCAGAACAATATTTTGGTCGTAGTCCTCGGTTTTTTGGTTTCACGGATCCCATGCAGAAGTTCCAGTCGAATATTAAAAGACAAATAAAAGGACAAAAAAAGGAACGAAGCATTATGCTTCCGATCTAATTTTTTGGTTTCTTTTGAAGTTTTTCTCCCCTGTAATTTTTAAAAAGGAGGTTTTTCAAAGATTTTTTTTTTTTTTACTAATTCTCAATTACACAGTATTTGCCTTTGGATGAGGGTTTGGTCCCCTTTAACCAAGCACACTTTGTGGCCAGTTTTGATTGAACCTGGTCTCGTGGATCTTCAGGAGAATTCAAACGTCAAAAGTTCATGGACTGACACTGGACAAATTAAGCTCTGAGAAGCTCACGTAAGCCAGTGGCTTAGGTTAACAAAACCAATTCCTTTGGATTGTCATTTTGCTGAAGTGAGCAAAGTTAAGTTTGGAAACATTTTATTGGGTTAAAAGTCAAAAGGGAGAACGCTTGTTAAAGTGTACAGAAAAATACAAACTGTCACTGCTCCCTTTTCTTTGAGCTAGAAAAAAATTATGCGAATCACTACTAATCAAAACACTAATGCATTGCAAAAATGTATTTTATTTATTTAATTCAAAAATAAACATGATACAGCAAAAATGCATCTCATTTAAACACGATACAGCTTAAAAGTTTACATCATCCGACCACACCCAGCAGGGACCCATCTACGCAGGTCTGCGTCTGGTAGTTGAAGAAATCGAGCGAGCCGTCCGCCTCAGGAGCGCAGCTCATTGGACAATACATTCGTCCTGTGAGGTCACATTGGATGTAATGGTGACGATCTCCAGCAATCGCATGGAACAATCTCCCAGAGTTTATCTTAGAGTGAGTGCAAGGAGGGGAAAAACGAGGACAGGTCGGACAACAGAGGTAACCATTCACTTCATCGCCGCCATAGTGATGAGAGACACCGGGTTTGATGATGGAGGGCGAGCTTGTCGACGATTGTCCGACAGAGTCGACCGGAAGGCAGGTTAATATATTCTGATCCCAGACTTCTCCTCCTGGACAACTTAAGGCCCATGCCTTGCCCCAGACATCGCAGTGGATGAACTTAGTGTTGTCAGAGGGATAAACAAAGAAGAATTTACCCGCCTGTAAATTTGCGAGCGTGCACGGACTTGCTGAGGAATCAACATTGGTTTTATTGCCTGTGACACAGGAAGTGAAGTTCCCTACACATTGTTGGCACGACTGGTAATAGGACTCGTATTGTGGACACTGAACGATATATAGTTTTCCGATTTGGTTACACATCAAGTATTTCGTCGAATCAGTGGGATGTGCAAACTGAAGGAGTCCCTTTGCAATATTTTCCGGGGTGCAAGGATTTGGGAAATTCCATTTTTCTAAAATGGAAATGCAGAATGGAATTTTAGTGAGTCTGGAGGAAATGAAATTTTTCTCTCAAATACATTGGTTATAAAATTTTTAAAAAATGTTATACCTTTACAATTGTCCGGGCATTCGATTTTTATCCCATCGATGTAGCATTTCATGGCTATTGGAAAAAAATGAGTTGAAATGTTATATAATATCAACTTCATTTAAATAGAGACACATACCGATTTATATTGGTGGTATGAATCTGCTTACTGTGATCTGTGTGGTCTCCATGGTAGGGTGTTATGGTGATGACACAGCCAGCGCTTGAGCTGATCTGGTTCTTTAAGGCGTCAACGAGGTTAATAAACAGAGTCTGGTCCCCGGAAGCGTTATGGAATACTGACGTAGGATTTCCGGAAGAGACAGAATTGAGAGACTGGTAGTAACTCGGTCCAGGGTAAGGACTGTTGAAAGCCGTGTAAATATTTCCATTGCCACACGTAACATTTGTCTGCAATAAAGACAAGAAATATCTTCACTATGTGTAACATAATCCAATTCTGTTTTGGTTCAGAAATCTACTGGAAAGAAGTCCAGATTCAATTGACTTAAAATTCTAATTTATCTACCCTTCAAAAGGACCATGGCACTTTGTATTAACAAAGGCTTTTTGACAAATTTAACAGACTTTTAATTAGATTGGTCAGAAGACCTAGAGAAAAATGTGTTTTTGACCTTCTATAACTATACTACTCTGGCCAAAGGTAGGGTTTCCAGATAAAATCGGTGAAGCATAGCGTGCTTACTTAAGTAGGCTATAATGACCTACTTAAAAGCCTTGACGCCTTTCTTTTCATAGTGCTACGATTTAATAACTGTATCGTTAGAAAATATTGTCAGACAAAAATTCTAACCACGAAAAAAAAAAATATAAAACGTAAGGAATGTATAAAGATGACTAATTTCTGTAATACTATTCCGACTCTAGCAAGTACCTCTATTGTAACTCCAGGTGTTGAGGTCAAAACAGCTAAAGGCGGACACTTTTCGAAGACGCAGCTAAAGGTGCTATTGATGTAAACAGGGGCTAAAAGAAAAAAAATTATAACCAACTATTCAAAACAAGAAAAAAAATCTCTTAAACAAAAAAGAAATTCAAACTTTACCTCGACATGAACTTTGAATAAGTTCCTCTTTCAGTGCTTTGATCTCGTCATACCCAGACACGGTGAACACGTGCGTA